GTGAAAGCTCGGGGGGAAAGTGAGTGTGAGCAGTATTGCGAGTAGAGAAGCAGTTTTGCTCTAGTTGGTGTTTTTCCTTTAGGAACCAAATTCATTTTTACATGCCATTTCAACTGTAATTCCATAGTATGGCTTGTTAAAAGATGAATGAATACACAGATCTGACTCCAATAGGTCAAATATTACTAGAAGAGATTAAAAGGAGGTAACATATTTGACATTGAAGGATACATTTGAAATTTGGATTTATAATTGAACAGTGTGAAACAGATAACCAGTACATTTCAATGGTTTCTACTTAATTCTACTTGAGAGTTTAATAAGGAATGCCATCTTAATTCTTAAGGATTCTGAATATACTTCTACAAAAACAGTTCTCTACAACTTGTACTTTAAATATCACCACTAAAATTTGTCAGATTATTCTGTTTTAAGCATGCAGACCTTTACACTTTTATACTATGATTTTTTTCTGATTAATTAAAGAACAATACATCCTTTAGAAAGTTTAGAAAATACCAAAAAGCCTAAAGAAAGAATTGCTTTTAATGCCTCTCTCTGGAGATCATCACTTTAAAATTTTGGCATTTGGGGGCACCTGGGTGGCTCAGTTGGTTAAGCGGCTGCCTTCAGCTCGGGTCATGATCCCAGGGTCCTGGGATCGAGCCCCGCATCGGGCTCCCTGCTCGGTGGGGAGCCTGCTTCTCCCTCTCCCTCTGCCTGCCTCTCTGCCTACTTGTTCTCTCTCTGTATCTCTCTGCCAAATAAATAAACAAAATCTTTAAAAAAAATAAAATAAAATTTTGGCATTTGTCCCCTTGCAGACTTTTTTCCCATAAGTCCTATACCTGATAGAGATATTACAGCATGCGAAATTGTCAATGCTGGTTTTGAAGTTTTACTTAACCTTATAGTCTATAGTCATTAGGATTCCATGTCATTGGAATTCCTTACATACATCATCCAAGTGTCTATAGCCAAGGTTTTCAAGGAATGGGCCTCAGATCAGCAAGAAAGATGTTGCATGGGAGCTGCAAATGCAGACCCACCAGGACCTTCTGGATCAGAGGTTCGGAAGGGGGTGCCCCGAAATCTGTGGCTTAACAAGCCTCTAGGTGATGCTGATGCAAAGTAAGTTTGAGAACCACAGCCATGCCGCCTTGCTCTTAGTCTGGGAGGAAATAAGGATTTTCTTTTTGCTGTTCTAAGTGTTTTACACGACCCTTTGTTCACATTTCTGAGTATTTCTTTTTCTTTTTTTAAAAAAATATTTTTGTTTATTTGTTTGACAGAGACACAGCGAGAGCAGGAACACAGCAGGGGGAGTGGGAGATGGAGAAGCAGGCTTCCCGCTGAGCAGGGAGCCCGATTCGGGGCTCGGTCCCAGGACTCTGGGATCATGACCTGAGCCAAAGGCAGACGCTCAACGACTGAGCCACCCAGGCGCCCCCCTGAGTATTTCTCTAGAATAAAAGAGTTAATCAATGTGTAAGCACCTAGTGAAAGGCTGTGACACACAGAGACTGAATTCTTTCTGGATGCAGTTGTGGCAGTTTCTACTATTCCAAAGAGAGCTTGAGATGCTCTATCTGACCACAGTCTTCCTCTTACACAGCTTGTTCTTTATGTGCTTTTTCAAAGTAAGTTATTTGTATCTTTCATTTTGTCTTCTATAGCTTTTTCTTTTCTTTTTTAGAGAGAGAGAGTGTGTGTGTGTGTGTGTGTGCACGAGTGGCAGCGGGCAGAGGGAGAGGGAGAAAGAGAATCCTAAGTAGGCTCTGCGCTGGGTGGAGGGGCGGGGGTTGGATCTCCTGACCCTGAGATCATGACCTGAGCTGAAATCAAGAGTCAGTGGCTCAACTGACTGAGCCACCCAGGGACCCCTATAGCTTTTTCTTAATAGCAAGGTTGTGTTAAAGGTACTGTTCTTTTGTCTTGACATGTTGCTTGTGATCATTTTAACTACAGATATTTTTCAATTGACCTGGTGAATCCTATATATTTATTTATTTTTATGCCATTTCTCATTCCAGAGATTAAATAATACTTACTTATATTTCTTCTAATGTTTATATGAAAAATTTTAGAGCTGTAGTCCACCCAGATTTTTTTTTTTTTTTTTTTACTGTAGCAAAGGTCTAAATAGCATTTTCAAAAGTGGTTAAACAATTTTCCCAGAATACTGTCAACGAATATTTTAATAATAACTTACATTTTCTCACCATGATTTCCTGTTTGATTTAACCTTAGCATCTGTGATATTCAAATTATTTCAGTATAGCAAGTGTGGTCCTTTGATAGTCCTATGTTACAATGCAAAATAATTTCAGGTATTTTGTTCATTTATTTTTTATAATGTACTAAGAGCTTAAAAAGCTTATTCTTATTTGACGGGGAGAAAATTGCATTGTTCCTTTTGTAGGAGTGGTTCAATGTACTTTTGTTCTGAATAAATTTAGCTTTCCCTTTCTCCATCATATTTGGACAAAAGCCATTCTTAGACTGTACAGTCTCTAAGGTTCACACATTTTTCTACTTTTATTCACCTTATAGGTTCAACAAGTTTGAAAAATGAAAATAATGTTTATTATTTGACTTAGTTTCACTTTGTACAAAAGAATGAGTGGATGTAGACTTTGAGCTCCTATCGTGAAAAAAAATTGCACCTAAGTAGTAGGTCAGGAAGGAAGAAGTAATCTGAGGGAAAGATCGGGGAGAATCCAATGAAAAGCATGATTTTCAGGTTGCTGTCAGATTGCAGGCAGTGTGGGAATCATAGAGCAAGCATTGGGCTTTACTTTCAAGGTTAGAGGGAAGTCATGCTGTTCATCAGCCACAGCCTGGCCCCTTCCTGCAGGAGGGGAGACTGGTGAGTTTGCTGCCTCAGAGGGGGCAATGGGGACAGCTCCCAAGTTCCAATTCACTCCCAGTCCTGACAAATCTATATATATATATAGATGTGTGTGTGTGTGTGTGTTCCCAAGTTCCAATTCACTCCCAGTCCTGACAAATCTATATATATATATAGATTTAAAAATATATATTTAAAGATTTATTTATTTATCATTTTTATTTATTTATTATTTATTATTTTGGAGAGAAAGAAAGAGAGAGCAGGGTTGGGGAGAGGGAAAGCGGCAGAGACAGAGGGAGAGAGAGAGAACTTCCAGCAGAATCTCCGCTGAGCTTGGAGCCCAATGTGGGGCTCGATCTCACGACCTTGAGATCATGGCCTGAGCCGAAATCAAGAGTCCACCACTTAACTGGCTGAGCCACCCAGGCGCCTCTGGTAACAGCATATATTGATGGTTTTTTTTCTCCTGGGAAGGAGCTCTGTGGGAGGTGGTGGTGAGGAGTCTCATGGGCAGGAGGACATTTTATTTTATTTATTTATTTATTTTTTTAAAGATTTTATTTATTTATTTGAGAGAGAGAGAGAGAGAGAGAGCATGAGAGGGGGGAGGGTCAGAGGGAGAAGCAGACTCCCCACTGAGCAGGGAGCCCGATGCGGACTCGATCCCGGGACTCCAGGATCATGACCTGAGCCGAAGGCAGTCGCTTAACCAACTGAGCCACCCAGGCGCCCCAGGAGGACATTTTAAAGATAAAATGGTCCCTGACCTCACTGAGATCTCGCTTCAGAGGGGATGTTGCCCTAGTAGTTTATTGCTTATTTGAATATTACCTCATTAGAGTCTCACCACAATTCTGTGATGTAATTAGAGCTGTTGTCATTGTCATCACTTGACAGATGAAGAAAGGCATGCAGAGAAGGGTAAGGAATTGGCTGGAGGTCACACAGCTAAAGAGTGACAGAGTCAGGGAGAGAATTGCAGATTTCTGGACTATTGTTCTTTCTACTTAAGCACTAAGTCAGAGTAACATATTTCTTCTGATTACTTTTTTTTAAAAGATTTTATTTATTTATTTAACAGAGAGGCAGACAGCGAGAGAGGGAACACAAGCAGAGGGAGTGGGAGAGGGAGACGCAAGCTTCCCGCGGAGCAGGGAGCCCGACGTGGGGCTCGATCCCAGGACCCTGGGACCATGACCAGAGCCACGGGCAGACACTTAAGCGACTGAGCCACCCAGGCGCCCCTCTTCTGATTACTTTTTATCATTAACTCGGATTGAGTAAAAAATATTTCTTAAATTCTACTTTTAAAATTATACTGTTGTGTGAATGTACTTAATTTATCAGCCTTAAGAAGTAATCTTCATTTATATACTCTTGATAGTTTTTTTTTTTTCTACGAAAGATTTTATGTATGTGATTGGGAGCTCCTTAGAGTGAAGGGTTATCTGTCTCAAACATACACTCTTTCTATTCTTGTTCTTTTTAAAATTTTTAACTGAAGTATAGTTGACCTACAATATTAAATGAGTTTCATGTATACAGTATGGTGACTCAACAATTATATATACATTATGAAAGGTCACCACAGTAAGTCTAGTTACCATCTGTCACTGGAGAAAGGTATGACAGTATTGTTCACTATATTTCATATGCTGTCCTTTTCATCATTGTGACTTATTTATTTTATAACTAGAAGTTTGTACCTCTTAATCCCCTTCACCTATTTATTTTTTTAGAGGTGGGGAAGGGGCAGAGGGAGAGGGAGAGAGAATCTTAAGCAGGCTTCATGTGACGCAGAGCTTGATCTCATGATCCTGAGATCGGGACCTGAGTCGAAATCAAGAGTTGGACGCTTAACCAACTGAGCCACCCCGGCGCCCCTCCCTTCACCAATTTATTCTTGTTCTTCTTAAGGGGTTAAACTCAGCTGAATCAAGGAACTAATAAAAATCTGTGAGGAGTCACAAATATTTAGAAGACTCTAAAGTAAAAATTCTTTTTCCCTTACTCTCATCCTGTTTTTTCATTGGATTGTTTTGAATTGTTACTCTATTTGATTAATGTTCCCTTTCCTCATTTTCCCACCATTTTTTTCTGGCCTTAGCTGAATTCCTAATTCCTATTATATATTTTTTCCTCCTAGGTAAAACTGATAACCACTATATTGTCTTTGTGGCTGGAGGGGCAGTTGTATTGTTGCTGTTTGTTATCCTAACCACCATCATTGTCATTTCTTACAACAGGTGAGTATTACAGCTCATCCTGATTCTTGTTTCCCTTGAGTCATCCTGATATGAGGAATTCTTTGTGAATAACCCAATAGTTGACCAAGCTGCCTTAGCACTCACATACAGCGTTTTGAGTATTTTTCTTACACAAGAGAGAAGTAGTTGTGGTAATATCAGGGGAGAAAGCTAGAGTAGCTCATTTAAGAATTAGTAGGAACTGCTCCGATGTTAGCAGAGGTTTCATATTCTGGGCAGCCAACTGCCTGGAGCCTCTGCTGTGTCTCCCTTGTCCTCTATCTTCCTCCTCCAGCAAGGAAAAGAGGGTGTTGGGCGAGGGGTGGTGTGTGTGCCTGCGTGCGTACATGCATCCATCTTTCCGTCTATGCGTGCGTGCGTGCATCCGTGCGTGTGTGCGTGTGTGCGTGTGACGAGAGGGGAGAGGGAGGGAGGGATTCTGAGAAGGGGAAGAACAGGGTTGACCAGTAATAATGCCTTCATGTATTCATTCATCAAATATCTATTGCAACAGTAGTGAACAAGATGTGATGGAGTGCACATTCTAATAAATAAGCAACATACTTTTAAATGGTTGTATAGTTTCTGAAACAAGCAACAGAGATGCTATTCCTAAAAAAATTATTGAGGAAGAGAGGTGTGTTGGAAGGGGCTACCTTAGAGAGAGTAGATAGTCATTGACATCTACTTAAGTTTCCTACCTTTTACTCTCTGTGGCACACTTGGGAACTTGCTGGAATATTCTGGGTTGACTCTGCCCTTTCTTGCTGTCTCACGTTCACCAACTCACTTGTCTAGGGATTTGTCGTAATCTTAGCTGTAATCATATTGAATTGAAATTACTCTTTATTCTTGTGTTCCAACTAAAGTGTTCTCTTGTTAGCAGAGGGAAGGAATACATCCATCTCCTCTTCTCTTCTACCCCAGCAATATTACCACACACACACACACAGACGCATACACATACACATGCACGCACATGTGCACACACACGTGCAAGTGCATGTGTATTAATAGGATATCAGGTAGATTTCTCTATCTCATCTCCATATCCCAGCCTCACCTCTTTGGAGCTGGTATTACAACTCCCTGGAGGTTAGTTAATGCTCCCAATCTGCCCCCAGCTCCAGCTGTCTCCTCTCTTTCTTTCGAACACATCTGACTTTTCCTGGTTGCTCTTCTAAAAGCTAGTATCCTTCCTGTTTAACACCTTTTCTTGTCTTTCTACTGCCACCAGAATAAGGTTAAAACTCATTAACCCTGTATCAAAGGCACCCTTTGTTCTGACTTCCACCCAGTTAGTGGGACCCCAATCTAATGTTCATTTATATTTTCTACTTTACTGCCCCAATGTCAACAAATTTTGTTAAAACTTCAAGTCTCATTTTGTGAACACACCCGACTTTGTTAAGTGCAGTTTCCCCCATGTTTGGCTTTACTCCTGTGGCTCATTCAAGGCGTGGGACACATGTCCCCTTTGGGAGGTCTGTCCTGGTTCTCCCTCCCTGCAAAGAGACCTGATGTCACCATCTGTTGCGCCTTGCAGCCTGCTTTGTAGCTTCATCATTTTTGTGCTGTCCTTCCTTCTGTTCAAAATGTCAGGGATTGCATTTTATTCATTTCTTAGTGTTTGATAGCATTTAGCACTAATCTTTCCAAATAACGGATGGTCAATAAGCATTTGTCTAATTAAACTGAAACACAGAACTGTCGTTTTCCCTTTCTTTCCATCACGGGCTGCCCTCAAGTCTTTCCCTGGTCAGAAATTGAACAAATTAGCAAATTGAGGGAAGGAACCCAGGATGTTAGTGACACTAAGGATTTTTCTACTGCTTCACCTTGGTTGATGAAAAATGCACCGAGGGCGGCTGTGACAGCAGGAGCACCTGGAAACACGGGCAACATGGTAGGAGAGAGTGAGTGACAGCACGGATCTCCGGAGGGTCACAGATGTTGGACATGATGGATTTAGCTTCATCAAAATGCATTACTTTTACATGAATAGCTAAATTGAACTGTAGAATATATTGTCCCACTTGGTTAAATGTGATAAAAAGATTAGTGGACTTGAATGTGTAATCATGGCCGAACATCACAAAGGAAGAAGCGCTTGTTCTTTCTACCTTGTCGCCCGAATCAGTTTGTGGTTGTAACTTAGAAAAATGACCCAAGGGCTTAAACAATGGTCTTCAGAACTCTGTCTTCCTGACCATTTAAAATAATCCTGCCGCTTCCGATGTGCTGACTTGGGGAGAAGCCAGAGGAGATCACAGTGTGCCTGAACGAAACTAAGTCCTTCCTTCACACCCAGTACCCTGGAGCCTGTGTGTCCAGAGGCATTTCCCACACTTTCTCTGCTCTCATTTTGTGTTGCTTCCAGTTAGAGATCAGAATGGTCACATTGTTAAGTGAATGTGGTTGGTGGGCGTGCGTAGCCCTGGTTAGGTGTGGCAGGAGCCAAAAGACAGTGGACACATTGACAGGTGTGTCTACAGGAAGAAATTTAATGTTTAGTGTGCAAAATGTTAGACACTTATTTTTCCTTTTATTGTCAACTTTGCTGTTCACAACAAATAGGCTCTTTTGCTTTGCCTGGGACTCTCCCAGTTTCAGCACTGAAAATTCCTCATTCTGGGGAAACTGCTGAGAATGAAGCAAACCAGAATGGTCTGGGGGCACCTGGGTGGCTCAGTCGTTAAGCGTCTGCCTTCAGCTCAGGTCATGATCTCAGGGTCCTGGGATCGAGCCCCGCATTGGGCTTCCTGCTCAGCGGGGGAGTCTGCTTCTCCTTCTCCCTCTGTGCTCTCTCTCTCTCAAATAAATAAATAAAATCTTTAAAAAAAAAAAAAGAGTGAAGCAAACCAGAATGGTCTGTCAGCCTAGAACAAACCACAGTGTTCACCATCTTTATTTTACAGAGGAGAGGACTGAACTTTATAGATGCAAATAACTGGTAAATTGCTGGGCACAAGTTAAACACAGATCATCTGACTCTAAGTTTCTTGTTTTCTTTTCTTCATCATATTGGATATTCTAGGATTATGTAAACAATATATATATTTGGACCTCTTTGGGAAAGTTAATCTATATTATGATATAGCAAGCCTTGTGAGTGATGATTTGACAAAAGGTCCACTGTCATAGATTTGTTTCTTCGTTTGTAAAAAGAGAATCGCAATAGCATCTACATCACAGATTTCTTTTAAGGAGTAAATAATTTATATGAAAGACCTGGAAACATCACTTTCACATAATAAACTTAACACATCAAAAAATTAAATTAATTGCATAAAAGAGTCTTTATAAGTAAACAAATACACACAGAGTAAGATCAGTTTGTGATTATGTCGACACAGTAGGAGGATTTCCTAGTGACTAGGAGAGAACAACATCCATCATCTGAACCTTTCCTTGGAGAGAGACTAGTTTGGCTGGTTTTAAAACTTTCCGTGAAGGAATTACAACTTCATCTTTTTGCATAAAGGAAAAAATACCTTACGTTTTTGCATCTAACCCATCTCCTCTGTGGTCTGATAAAAATCTTTTCTTTAGGGAGATGAAAAAAGATATCATCTCCCATAATAACTATTTTCATGCACTTGGGTAGAGTCTTTCATCCAGTGCATTCAGTTATAGTAGCCTCTTTTCATCTTCTCTTGAATTTTCAAAGATTCCTCCTGATGTTAGGTTTTTACAGTTTTCATTGGAATGGTGGAGAGTTTATGGAATAGTATGGCTCCAGATGGCCCATGGAACTGGGGCAACATGACTCCAGACGCAGTGAGCCTAATAGTCATGAGGGAAGGCTGTGGATTCAAATCCCGACACTACCACTAGCCAACCACATGATTTAGGGCAAGTTACTCTTCCTCTCTTGCCTCAGTTTCCCAATCTGAGTTAAATATAGAGTTTTTGATGAAAGCTAAATAAAATAATCCATTGAGGAGGTTTGGTAAAACACCTGGAACTTTCTCTAAAGCTTAACTCTATTATCACTCTCATCCAAGATGTTACACTGTCGGCATTGAAAAGGAAGTTTTTAATTGTGGGAAATCTCTAAGCTCGAGATTATTTGGAGAAGGCAGTAAGCCAGGTAAAACACCTGGAACTTTCTCTAAAGCTTAACTCTATTATCACTGTCATCCAAGATGTTACACTGTCGGCATTGAAAAGGAAGTTTTTAATTGTGGGAAATCTCTAAGCTCGAGATTATTTGGAGAAGGCAGTAAGCAATAACCTACTATGAACCATTCTTCAGTAAGCTCGCTGAGATTAATTATTAATATACACTGGCTGGATATCCATTTAGATGCCTTCACCATCTGTGGAAAATAATTAGGTCAAGGGAATTTTGAGTAGGTATGTATAAAGCAACTTCAACATAGTGAAGGCATGTAGGCTGGGGAACAAGTAGGGTATAATCCTATATGCCATAATACTAGCGCTGAAGTGTAAGATCTTAATGTCTCTATCCAATATGTATTCTTAGGAGAAGGAGACAGAAAAAACTACTTAAACAACCCTGGGATGCACAGAATAAGGTAAGTTTTCTCAGAGCTGTCATTTTCCACCTTTTGTGCATTGTAATATCCTGTAAAGTCGGTCCATTTTGCAGTTGGCAACCTTATTGTTCTCCTTTCAATTACCTGGCCATGTAGTGGATCAGCTATTTGAGGAAACACCTGTTCTCTGACCTGTTCTCTTATTATTGATGCCCTTTGAAACAGTTTGTCTTACTTTCATGTTCATTGTCTCCACTTTTGGTCAGATTTTCTCTTTAACATATATGATTCTGTTTACAAAATTTTTTTAAAGATTTATTTATTTTATTTTAGACAGAGACTCTCTAAAATAAAGAGAGAGTGGGGGAAAGGGGTAGGTAGAGGGAAAGAATCTTCAAGTAGACTCCCTGTTGAGCATGGAGCCCAATGCAGGGCTCCATCTCACGACCCTGAGATCACGACCTGAGCTGAAACCAAGAGTCAGATGCTCAACCAACTGAGCCACCCAGGTGCCCCTGTTTACAAAATTTTACAGCAAAACATTTCCCCAAGTGTTATCTAAACTTACATCATTTCTCTTCAATTTAATTATTTGCAATTGAATTCTACATGACCAAAACATCAAGTAATAAAAATTTTCTGACAATCTAATGTGTGTGCTTTGGACTTCTGTTACCTATTTATTTATCAGCTTAATTTTTTTTCTTCTATTAGTTACCCTTTGCACACCAAAATTTTTTTTTCTGAGTAATTCGTGGCTGGCTTTTTGACAGTAACTGGAAAGACTATAGAAGTTTTGCCTCGTTTCATCTGCCGCTCCAGCAAGCGATAAAACATTGCTGTCAAATTTTGGGGTCTCTTCTTTGTCCTTAGCTGTTGTCCACTCAAGCCAATCTAAAGCCACATTTATTGCTGTGAATGTCAAGGGAGGGAAGGAACTTTGCAACTTCCTATATTAAGTATACAACTTGTTCAGTCTTTTGTACAATAATGATATGTTGAACGATGATTAGAAAGATAGTGAGTTGGACTGTGAAAGAAAGAAGCTGACCTACTTGATTGTTTTGGGGTTTTCAACAGGCTCTGGAATTACCAGTGGAAGTGCAACTTTCTTTTTGCTTTTTCCTTGCAAGCACCAAAACCACTCTCAGTTTCCAAATTACTCACCAAAAAACCTTTCTCTCTTCTTCTTTTCCTCTCAATTTCTCTCTCTCTCACCCATGCCTACATATTTTCTGCCACATACATGTATAGGTGGCCAAAGTGACTTGATTAGTGTAGAGAATGTTATATGACATCATCTTGAAAGTAATGCCAGTTTATTTTGTTAATTTCTTTTGTTGTGTTTAGTTGCTTATTGTCAAGACATGACACTGTGTACTTTAAAAGTATTGTTTATTAAAGCATTCATTCAACAGAAATTATTAAGTACCCACTATGGGAAATACTATACTAAACTTCCATGTAAAAATGAGACTAATGGTTCCTATCAAAACAGCCTGGCACATTGGGAGAGAGTTCTAAGTGTTTCATAATCTAATATAAAAAATGATAATCTAGAGTAGTCTCCTGTTGCATCTTATTCTGAGCCCTGAAAGTAAAAAATGTGATTTCTCATAGAAGTTCAGTACAAAGAAGAGAATGTTTTATGAAATTAATCGTAATAGAAATTTGACTTATATTGTGGTTGATTTAAGGAGAGATTTGTTTTGAGTATCTTTATTGTCTGCTGAAATGCAGTGAATCATTGACATTCTGTTTGTCTTTCTAGGAAGCCAACGACTACAGAAATCCCGACTCTACCAATCAATCATCGGATGGTGCAAGAGAGGATATTTATGTCAACTACCCAGCCTTCTCTCACAGGCCAAAGACCAGAATCTAAGCTTTTTCCTTGATATGAGCAAATTTGTGATGACTGTTATGCATGTGGATCTTTATATAATTTTTTCCCACTACTCAGTGGCTACCCTGGATACCAGTTGGCTAAATTTATTTAGTTTGATAGGAAAAATACTTTATAACCCGGAGAGCATTCTTAACAGAAATGTTTCAGAAAACCTGACTCTAATTAGCATATACATAAAGGGAAACTTACTGAGTCATGTAATGAAAGAATCCAGGCGAGAGATCAAGCTTCAGGCAAGGGTTATTTACCAAGGTTTAAATGTCATGTCTAGAATTAAGTTGGGGCATAAACCCGTTTCTGGGCCTCCTTTTGTGGAATTGGATCCACTTTATTGGTGTTAGCCTAACTCTTATTCATGTGTTTCCCTTGTGTTTCCAATAACTCTTGGCAATTCATAATCCTTGTTTCTGCCTGGTAGAGAATTTATTTCTCTGATAAAGCAAACAAATTTGGTTATTTGTCCATCATTAAACAGGCATTATGGCTGGAAAGGATGAAATGGCTTAAGTCAATTAAGCGTTCACCTCTAGAACAAGGACTGAGGCCAAAGCACATTACCAGGAAATTCAGGGTATCATTAGAGGAGGGAAATGGGGCCTGGAAGCTGCGCTGGTGACCAACAAATGTGGACTGCAATGCCATTCCCAAACATCTCTTATTAACCAACAAAAAAGAGAATATGTGGATGGATCTGGGTTAGCTTTCTCTCTCCCCACTTTAAAATCTGCTCTATCAGCATAGTCCAGAAGAGTAGTTGACAGCAGAATAAATGAATGGTCAAGAGGAAGACAAATGTGACAGGGAAATCTCTTCACTCTCTATTATCAAATAAAGTAATCCCTGATTCCACATGGAATTCTTGCCACTCTCCCTGGCTTAGCTTTATGAGCAAGTGTAGTAGATGGTCCAATAATAACTTAATGTTTTTGATATTGAATTTTTCTACTTTTGAGAATTATTTTAAATATGTAAATCCTTTCAAAAGAGTCAGGCATCTAGGCATTATTAATGGTTTTTAAAAAAATAATTATGGGAAATCTGAATATAAGAAAAAGAATGGTAGTTAGAAGTGTGGTTTAGGTTGTGGTAGAAACATGAGGGGGAGGAACATTGGGGGGCGGTGGTGTAGGGAGGAAGGAACAGGGAACAAAGAATGGGAAGATACAGAGATAACCTTGTCTTGCTTCACAGTTTGGCCAAAGACAACCCTAGCGATATCAATACAGAGCAATTACAGGCCATCCTGTCATTGTTCAAATTCTAGATGGGGTCAAACGAAGAAAAGTAGTCCTGAAGCTAAATAATGGTCATGATCACCTTGAAACCACAATGGTCATTACCAAAGATAGAGATCATTCATGTCTCAAATATTTATTACTCATCTCTAAAACATTCACCACAAAAATTGCATGTAAGTATCAAAGTTGTAGATTTTTATGATAATTTTAAGTGAACCAAACCAAATTCTCATGTTATCTAGGAAGATTTGAAGCTGTAATTTACAGTTTTAAGCGAGTCAGTGGATATTTTATGATGATAGCTTTAACTACTATGCACGCCCAATAGTGTAGTGATTCTGTGAATCACAGAAATTATGAGTGCCCCTGCCTGCTTCAGAAGGGAAAAAGTAAAAATGTCCACTTCTCATGAGGTATTTCCAAATTCTCAATGACTAATATGGGTGAGAAGGAAAGCATTTCTACCAATGCAATATGGGGAAATGGAAATCCCACTTGAACAGAGGAGATGACGTGTTTGGGGGCGGGGTGCACAGTACAGCCAGATGCCATTGTCCTGGAGGTTTCACTCATGGAAGAATTCTGCATGAAGAATTACAGACCATTTTAAACCAGTCTCTTTCTCCGTGAATGTTTTGCTTTTTCTTTAATCTGTCACTCAGAATATTTATGAGAACTATATCCTCTGTCCCTCTTCTTCGGGTATTCTTCCTCTGCAGAGCTCAGGATTTTTCAGGCATTTGGAACCCTTCTAAGTCCTGCTGGAATCTCTCTGCCCCCCCATCCCACTCACTGCCGCTGGTCCTGTTACACTCTCAGCTGTTCATGCTGATGAAATTCTACTCACTAGTTTCCTTTCCCTGGACATCTTTACTTATTAACAAAACACTTTTATTATTGTCTGTTTAATATCATTCCTAATTTGCTAGAGTTTCATAACTGTACTATATATATATATATAATATGTATATGTATAAAACTATACCTACTATATAGATACTACATGGTATATATAGTATATTGCATGTATATATATCACACACACACATATATATATAGGAACATATATATATTTCCCCCTAATCTGTTATACCTACTAGTCTGTTATTATTAAGGAAACCAATCAAAACAGTTCCACAGAATAAAATGTCAGAATTGAATTAAATTATGTTTTAAATCTTTTTTGAAAGGTGCTACTTAGGGAGCAAGATGCTTCCTAGGATTCTTTTTTACATATATAATTTATGATGATTATATAATATATTACATAAAAATCTATGTTTCCTTTGAATGCCATAAATGTAAATTTGAATATTTCCATTAAAGTAACCGATTAAAGGGAATTGCTGTGTGATGACAAGTTAGGTAAGTTTGTTAAATGTCATTATAGAGTATACAGCTTTTTGGGTGAAAGATTACATGCCATTAACCTATGATGACTAGGTATTGATTATATTATCATCAGAGAGACCTTGAGACATTATTTAAAGGCCTTTATGCATACTGAGAAAATAGAATTGAAATTTCATTAGCTTGTAATTATGCTTATGGATGCAAGGCAGTAGATGAGGCTATATTCTTTACTTGGTCAATATTAAATTTTTAGGATTTTTAAGTGAATCAATTTATTACTAAAATATTATACATATAAATTTGAAATACATTGGTTATCAATTTACAAGACAAAGGAAGATAAAAATAACTTTAGTAGGTTTACTTTCATTGTAAATATTCAGGTTATGTTGGTTTATATAGAACTATCTTAAATCACATCTACAGCTGCATTACCATAATTTACCAAATTGGTAGAGTCCATATTGTAATTAGAAATTGCTGTAATCAAAGTGCTTCTCCTTGATTTATAATAATGTGCTATATTCTGTACTGCTTGTATGAGATTTCAGCAAGATTGGAGGTATTGTAGAACTCAATGTTTATAAAGTTCAGGTGGAGGTGCTAAATTGTGAGTAAAGTGTTTAGCTTCTTTCCACAATAGTGGAAAAATATCTTTGAAAAATATAAAGTGGTGCAAACCTATAACACAATTAAGTATCATTATTTGGCCACTACTAGAACATAGTACCTAGAAAGTGTTGACCTTCACATTCAGGCTTTTGCATAAATTAATACACTTTTCTACTGGTCTTTTCACTGGAATTATTCTAAGTCAAGTCTCTAGGCTCTTATACATTTATCTGAAACATAAAAACAAGTATTTTTTTTTAATTTTTCTATTGCTAGTGACCCATGTGTAGAACTGTGGCTTCTAGAATTCACTGCAATGCTTTCTAAGGGAATTTTACAAAATCTTCAAGGTTGGTTTACATAGTATTTCAGATTCAAAGCACTAACTGTGTTGTAAGGTATCATAATAAAAGACCGAATCTGGGGATATGTATGATAAATGTCTGCAATAATTCCCATTTATTGCCTATTGTCCCTGTTTGAATGATGGGTTATATAGTCACCCTGTTTAAAACATTTTTTCCAGTTTTATGTGTGATTTCAGATTGTCTGGTTTTGTAGGGCATGCAATGTACCTGACATACTGAATTCTGTTGTTTGAATGAATAAAGTGCAGTGTTTCACCATCATTAGTTTTACTTGCCATCAAAGAATATTAGAAAAAAAGTCCTCTAGAATAATATTAACATAAAGAATTAAATGCAGAAAAAATTCAAACCACTGATGCTTTATAACTTCTATAGCAATGCAACATTCAGTGCATTTTCTATGTGCGTGTAGTTCAAAATCAAAGTGCTGTATGAGGAGTTTTTACAAAAAAAAAAAAAAAGTTTCCTGTCCTTCCCATTTTCCCCCCATTGAGACAACAAATTTCACTTCCTCTAATTACTTTATTTCTCTCTACTTCTCTGAATAGCATGCTTATATCAGTACTAGATTTTTTTTCAATTTTAGACATTGTTTTTTGATACAGATGCTTTCTTCTCCACGAACTCACCACACATGCATACATTTTTCATGTGCCCATCCTTCCAAAATATTTGTATTAAAGTTTGATTATTTCAATATTTGGTGTTTATGTTTTTATGACTTTGCCAACACTCTTCTCAGCTGAATCAAATGGTAAAAATGATCATGCTTCTCTCCTACAGACTTTGGTTTTCACCTAGAGCTAATAATTGTCTTTTTAGCTTTTAATAGTTTGGTATTTACCTTAAGTTTATCTCAAACTCTTCACCAGTGACCTAGATAATCTCTCCAGATTCTCTGTGATGCAGCAGATGTTCCCAACAATTTTAACTTCCTGAAAAATTTACCCTAGAATCTTGACTTGGGTCATTAAGCAGTGGTTCTTCCTGCATAGCTCTCATCCTCTGCCTCCCTTCAGAAAAAATGAAGACAAAGGAACATAAAACCTGGAATCAATTCTAGAAAATGCCCTAGTACACAAGGCTATGAAGTTCCAGATTGCAAGTGTTTACCCAGTGCCCTGAATGAGGAACAGTAAGAAACATATAATATTTGGGTTTGTGTCTGCAAGAGTTGGGGGTATTGGTTGTAATCTTTGGAAGCTGATGTTGACTGTTCTAGAAAGACAGAGACAGAGAGAGGGAGAGGGAGAGAGGGCACCAATGCTTGGGAAACGGGGAGAAAATGTGGCAAATCCAGTGGTCCATAAGCAGGATGGCACATTTTAGATAGACTTTAATTCAGGACCTTATATAATACCTGGATTTATTACAGGTGTATCCAAATATATCCAAGGTTGTTTCT